TAATATGCATTAGAAATGCAGATTGACGTGCTGCAATGTTTACATTCATCCTCTCTGTTTGTGTCCAAACTTTTTTTTTTTCTTTCTGATTTGTGGAATAAATATGATAAAGTCCAAATGTAGGCAAAAAATAAATAAATAAATAAATAAATAAACCACCTGAAATGTATCTGCGTTCGTGTGGGCGTGGTATCGCTGTAGCCGTGTCTTTGCTGAGGGACTGCTCTGATAATTGAGTTCATCATAAGCGGGTCTTAAACCCGCCTTGGGACCGGCTCATTAGAGTGTTTCAACACTCAACGTCTCGTTACACTGACGCCGAGGAAGAAATGCTTTCAACCTCCCACTGATTAATATGTTTTCAGGCAAGCTGTGTGTGTTTAAACGTGCCTCAGCAGCAGAAAGAAAATCTGCTGATTTTATCTGCTAATGAGGTCTATGTGCGACGCACATGCCCGTGTTATGCCAGCGTAATTTCTGATATTTTGAAGTCTGTCAGCGGCTTAAGCTCGCCGAGTGCTGCTGCGGATTCGGAGGTTAACACCTGGTAATTAGAGTAATCGCATGTGTTGAGATCAGATTAAATTTGGCACTGAGGCAGATTTGTATGGACATTTCAGTTCTTTTAGTGTCCGTCACTCAGCTGACTCGCTGTAGTGCTAACGTTTTATTTAAGACCTTTGAGCTGTCGCTTTTGGGTTGGATGCTTCCTGGAAAGGATTTTCAATAAATGCAGTTGCAGAGAGTATGTTCCAAAAGCAACATTAAAAACTATGGGGAATTGGGTTTTATTTGCATGTGTGTGTGTGTTTTGTCTCTTAGTTTCTGTCTGGATTCTGCTTCTTCTGTTTTTACGCCCAGAGAAAAAGAAGTTGAGTGAATAACACAATAGATACAAAAGAAATCGTCTTCGTCACTGTGGGGGTCAAACTCAGAAAATCATTTCCCACCAGCAGAACTTATCCAAGGTTTTCCCTGAATGTTTCTGAAAGTCTAACTTTACCAATAAGGCTGCAGGAAATCTGTATGTGCCAGACTGAGACCTGCAGTGTAAATACAGAAACTTTGAGGTCAACCTTTGATTCCTACAAAGAGAAGAAGAAGCTTCTGTCAATTCTAGGTTTATTATTAATACTTTGTTAGAGTTTTTGGTTTTGATTCACGTAATTTTTTTTTTTTTTGCTTTATTCTTTAACTGCATCTATACCTTGTTTCATTCTTTTTTGTGTTAAATTTTGTCATAGATAGTGTAACCTCGATAAAGTGTAACCCTCACCCTATTCCTGAGGTTCAAGTTTTTTTGAAGAGTTCACTTCCCTTTATATGTGTTGCAGCTAAATTAGATATTAAAGTCGGGGTTGCTTGTAGATTTAAACTCTCTAATTTGGTTTTCCAAAGCTGCTGCTCCCATTCTCACTAAAACTACAAAAATAGATGACATCACTCCAGTACTAAACGTCCTACACTGGCTCCATGTAACTCAGAGAATAGACTTTGAAATGCTATTGTTAGTTTTTACATCATTAATTGGCTTGGCACCAAAACACACTACAGATCTATTATCGTTGCATCAGGTCTGCTCTGCGTACCCAAAGTCAGAAACAAACACGGAGGAGCAGAATTCAATTTTTGTGCTCCTCTAATTTGGAACAAACTTCTAGAAAGCTGCAAAAATGTTTCATTTAAAGGATATTAAACCTTTAATTTAAAGCTAAATACTCATTTAAGAATTTTCTCTTGATGACTAGAAAATCCTACACTGATGCACTGGTTTTTGCAGACTAGATACGAGTTACCCCCATCGCAGACGGGAAACTTAACTTGAACTTGATGCAAAAGACTTCAGATTAAACATGAACCTTTTGGTTGGATTACCAATCTATAGCCTTTGTGACGGAGGAGCCGTCACGAGCCGGGACTTATGAGTCCATGTCAACATGCGTACACACATACATAAACCTACACAATCGCTAACCAACTTGTGTTCCAGCTTAGACTGACGCGGTTCATCGTGGGTGCACACGCGGTGTCCCTGCCTCAGCATCCATCCTAACCTGTTTTCACTTCCAAACGTTTTACTGGTTTTGTTTTCAAGCAGCCTTTCAACAACTTTTTGATGCATTAATCAGTCACTGGAAGTCAAATGGAAGATAAAATGCAGACTGTCTGCTTCAGACTTGCACCAAATTTTGTTTTTTCTTTTATTAACAACTTCACCAACAAAAAAAAAAAACCCTGATGTTTCTGACATTTGCTTAAGTTCTGCTGATTGGAGGTATTCATCTACATTGCATTTAGGATTGCTATTGTGCTACTTACTAAACAAAAACAAAAAACAAGCAGGGATATTACTGAGTGTAGAGCTGAACCTGTCTGCTTTTAGACGTGGGGGAAATCTGGGCGCTTTTTTTTCCAGTTTAACATACAGAATTCAAATCTTGATTGTAAAAATGCTCCATGTAAAGCTTCACATGCCAAGTTTAGTAAAGAGATTCCAAATAAATTAACTTTGCAAAGGAAATCTGCCAGTATCGCTCAGGATGGAGAGCAGGCGCACAGCCAGCGCTGCACAACGTGAGTCAGACACTTTTTAAAATAAATGAACTTACTGAGCGGAAATTACTAGAATGTAATCGTGCGCGGCTGTTTCTTTTCCATTCTTCCTACATTTATTCTGATATAGATAATGTGGTCTGTACAAATAGTATTTTATATATATATATATATATATGCCTGGCACATGTAATTATTTCAGAATCATTTTATTTTCAGCCAGGTCTTTGTTGATTCCAGATGCAGGATTGTTGTTTACAATCGGCACCATCATTTATTGATTAAAAACAACGTCATTCTGAAGTGATTCCTCCACTCTAGATGTTGTTCTTATCGTTTAATGAATGCCTCATCAGACTTTCTCTCTGTTAATTAAAAATGATAACAAAAAGCGCAATATTTTTTCTTCTTCAGCTCTTTTATCTCTTCTGCACCTGGCTGTAGCTGCAGAGATGATATCCGTTGTGTAGTTTAAAACATTTGGGCTGGTGTCAATGTTTGCACACTGTTTATGAGCAACTTATACTTTTCCTTCTGCTTATCAGTTTAACATGAAGCATCTACAAACACATTATTCTTGATTTATGTTCTGTCATCATTAGTTTTCCGCTCTGCGCAAATCCAGGTTGTAATTATGACTTAAAAATGATCAAATGCTTCTGCGGCTTCATTGAACAACAAAACCGCATTGTTCAGATTACACAGCTTGATCAGATAATTGTTTAACTGCATGAACAGTAATTAGGCTTGGCTGCAGTGCAGAGCTGAAATCAACTCGGTGGAATCTTAACTTCTCAAACAAAAGCGACAGAATCAGCATCAAAAAGGGTCGAGACGCAGCTTATCAGCAACATCCCCGAGGCCCCCGCTCAGGCATGTCAAGACGTGCTTCACACAACAGAAGTGGAATCAACTCTGAAGAGACAAACAAAAGCAACCCACGTCTATGAGAGTGGGAAAATCAGGTGCTGATCTGCAGAAGGCTTCAGAACGAGATGGCAAAAGCTTCTTTGCGTGCAACTTTCTGTTTTTTTGTTTGTTGCTAACTTTGTCGATTAAAAGTGTTGAAGTTTCTTGAATATGTGAGGAAAAGTCTGGGTACTTTATGAGGTATGAGGCTTTGCTTATGCTTTGTGCAGTATATAAGACTGCCAACATTAACGAGTTGGCGCATGCGATTAATCTGAATTTTTTAATTTTACATAATGCATAATAATCAGACTGCTATTTTTACCTAAATGTCTCTGTTCTACGGAACAAGAAACGTTGAAAAATTTTCAACTTTATTGCGTCTCTGCACATCTATGACTTGCGCCGGTTGTACGAGGACAAGCGACTGCTGCCTCGTCGCCCAGGAAATGAATGGAGAGGGACTTTTTTTTTTTTTTTAAGTTTTTGTTGGCTCTAGTGGCTTTTATTTGAAAGGAGTTAGGCAGGAAAGAGGGTAATGAGAGAGGAGGAAGACAAGCGGCAAATGTTGCCAGGCTGGGAATTGAACCTGCAACCATCACCACGAGGACTCAATACGTGGGTTGTGCTTTGCCCCTGCGCCACTACAGCACCCAGAGAGGGACATTTTAAATTAATGTTCAAAACAAAATGACTTCCTTGAAATCCTGAATATAAAACCTGGTAAACTGAGAATCTTCAGAAATGCTTGGTGTGATACAATAAAATGTTTTTTTGAAAATGTGCATATAGTGGCAGTTTTAGATATGGGTTATATGGGCGGTTTCCCAGGGTGGCATCAGAAAGTGTCGTCCCCTGAACATGCATGTTGCATGCATGTGTACTGGAGTAGTTTGCCTTCGTTGCTGTTGAGTACTGGGGGATCATGTTACCTGCTTTCTGATGCAAAAAATCAGATATTTGCTTCCATTTTAATTGGTTGGAATACAACAACTGCATGTAATATAGAAAAAATATTTATAAAGGTGTTGGAAATCCTTTAGAGATTTATGTCCATAGACATACTTGTTTATAATAGACATCTTTTAAGTAAAGATGTCAATTATTTATTGCGTGTTTTTCCATAATATTTGCTCTGTGCAGTGGATGATGTGTTTTGTATTTATAATGTGAAGAGGGAATATGAGGGGAAGAAAAGGCATCCTTATAGGGATTTCCCTAAAAATTCAAAGGATCCTTCCATCTTTTGTTAAAAGTTTCTGGCTGTAGCTGCCACTCTTCTCTTGCTCAGCGCCTTTAATGAACACCTCATTAGTTGAAAACCTCATTAGTTGTCTAATGACATGCAGCAAATGATCCAGGGAAGAGGCGAAGGCTTTGTTGCTTCTTAGTTACAGAAGGTGAGATGCGCCTTCAAAACAGTGGATTGAAACAATCTTGCATTCTCACCAAAAAATGAACCGGTTTTCCTGGAGAACCTTTTTGAAGCCGTCCTTTTGTGAAGATTAGGCTCGATTTGCTTCATAATAAGTGGGAACCTGAAAGACGATGCGATGCTTCTCCCTGCCTTCCAGATCTGTGACAAGGAGTGGCACTACTACGTGATCAACGTGGAGTTTCCTGCAGTGACGCTCTTCGTCGACGGCGTGACCTACGAGCCATACCTGGTGACGGACGATTGGCCGATTCATTCCTCAAAGATTTATACCCAGCTGACTGTGGGTGCCTGCTGGCAAGGTCAGTACGTATGTATTTATGGATGAACGCCTGTGTGTGTACGTACAGGTTTGTTTATGCAACATGGAGCTTTATGCATTAAAGAAGGTGAACGGCTGCTGCAGCATGTTGTCAGAGCTGCTGACAGCTGTTTACTGCTCTGTCAGATGTTTTATATGCAGCAGCGTATTTCATCTCAAGGCTGTGCTGCGCTTCTTCTTTTTTTTTAATCACACAGAATATCAGAATATTTTCCATTTCAATGCAAAAGAAACATCCCTATGCCTTTATTCATAATCCCATTTGTCATTTAGTTGCTTTGTAGCGTTTTATTGGCACCTACAACATTCAAATGTAAAATAAAATAAGAGTTGGAAAAACAGAGAAATCATATTTCTTACTTGAGCAACACCGTCTTTCATCCAACAAAATTTGCTAACAGGCAAACGAAAGATATATAGATAGATAGATATTTCGAACATGATAGAAGTATAAAATCACACACATGAACAAGGAATGCAAAAACAAGTAGGAAGAAGTCAGAAACTTATGATCTCCTACCCCATAAACTCACACCATATTGTCAGATGGACCCTCATTATTAAATAAAAAATAAACGTATGTTAATTTTCCATTTTATCTGGATTTACATACATCCATACATATACACATTTGTGCTAACTCTCACCCATATTTCTATATCCTGTGAAAATAACCTTTTATTTCCTTTTAAATTGTATTAAATTTTGATTTTAACTCCCCATTTAACTTGTTCCGTAATGTTACACCATGAATTGAAATACAATTGTCAGATTGCACCTTTTTAAAGCTTTGTTGATGGCATGTTCTTCTCGTTTTATTATTAGTCACAGAGACTCCTGGAAGGAAAGTCCTAAATCAGCGTTAAAACTACTTTACCACACCTTCACAGTGAAAAAAAAAAGTGCAAAAAATGTGCATCCACACATATGCTGCTTTAGTGTTAGAAAAAGTATGTCAGTCATTTATATCCATAGCTCATAAAAATACCTGGAAAGATTTTTCAGAGTAATTGAGAAACAATAGTTTAGGTTAGTGGGTAGGAACTGGTTTGTGGGCGCAAAATATGGGCTGTTGAAGAAAGTTTAAACGAATGCATAAAAGCAGGACACACTTTATTGAGGCTCTGCTGCTACAGAACATTTTACTGACGCTCAACGTTTTATTTCCTGCTCACGGTTTATTGCTGATGTCTGGGTGTGACCGGTCAGATAGTCAGAATCACTAACCGTTTTAGATACGAGGACTGATGCTACTGAAGTCTTGTTTAATAAATACTATTTGTCAATAATTAAAAGCAGTGTGAAATTAAAAGCCAAATGACCCTATTATTAACTAATGAGCTGCAGGTTTTATTAGCTTGTTACATTTTGTATGTTTTTTTTTTTTTTTTTTTTTTTTTTTTTTTTTTTTTGCTTGTTTTTCCTTTAAAACTGGTGCAACCAAAAATTATTTGAGG